TGCTCCCACTTAAAAAAACAATTTATACTTGGCTCCAATCCGCGCGACTGTTTGCCGATTATCGAGCGTGTATCTATATAATTTTAGAAACATTTGCACAGTTACGCAATACATATTGGTTTATGATTATTTACCATACATCAAAGAATATTTGAAATATAATATAATTCTTCATACAGAAAATATATTATTTCTTTCGAATACAATATGGTACTATATACAGTTTATGAGTCAGGATTATCATAACACGTATTTTTATCTCTCCAACAACTAGCCCGTGAACGTTGGCGAAACTCGATATCCCATAGTGGCGTAACGTTAACTAATATTACAATATTATTGTGCGTGCACGTTATCTGGCCGTAGTCCGCACAGCAGAGCAGAGATACACGTCGCGATAGGAGGAGCGCATAATAGAGGCTGCCCATTTCAACCCCATAGAATACAAGGTCCCCCCCACCACCACCCACCCTTCCCATGCAATAGTACCCTCTCCGTGTCCAGGCGCGATAATGAGGTCGGTGCACGTTTGTATTCCCGTTCGCAAGTATTCCGCGATGAAATAAATTCGCTTGAAGTATGAAAAAGCATTTCCGAACCTTTAAAAGTAAATAGGAGATGTAATTTAAAAAAATTAATATATTTTGTACGATAGTGAAAAGAAGAAGGGATGAAAAATAGAAGATAATTTCGAAAAATATATAAATCAATTCGCGTGTCCGCAATTGATTATTGTCCAGTATTTAACCCACGGTAAATAATGGTATTGTAAGGGGGCCCATAGGGCCCCAGAATGAAACGTTAACGCCCCCCGGTCATTGTCGCCTCCTGAGAACGCTTGACTTCGGGGCTGATTGCAGGGTGAATTTCTCGTGAGTTTGGGCCATTGTGTATCGAGAATAAGGAGGGAGGTACACTGCGGCAAGGGGTCCGTGAGGCCCCGTGGCTTCCTGAGAAGATTTCAAATTATAGGGCCCCTTGACTATGCAGAGGGATACGGTCTGCGTGTACTACTATATATATATATATATATATGTATAAACATAATATTCAACCGAGTGTACGATCCTCTGTAACACCATGCTGATCTTGCAGTGGGTACCGCCGGGTACATACTCGTCTATGCTTTACTCCTGGGGATGATGTGCCTACAGGGGTCCCTATTTCCCCAAGACACCCCATATAGGCACTGGCCATAGTGCACGGTACGCTCCTGCGTTTTCTGTTGCCATCTTCCGCTCCACTTGTCGATCGTATCGACGTGGCCACCCAACGCTGGGTACCAATCGACCCTGACTCTGCTATACATACCGATATCAATATATTGGCCACCCTGTATATTTTCTTCGTTATATGCATTTTTATCCCTTCTAGAAACCTAGGTACACACAGGAGTTCCCAAAGAGTACATAATTCTCTATGTACTTATATATATATATATATATATATATATATATATATATATATATAAGTACATAGAGAATTATGTACTCTTTGGGAACTCCTGTGTGTACCTAGGTTTCTAGAAGGGATAAAAATGCATATAACGAAGAAAATATACAGGGTGGCCAATATATTGATATCGTACAAGGTACGACGAAAATAAGAGATCGTTCGGTAATTCGCAGATGGTCGACTCTAACGGGTCTGCTAAGGGTGCAAGACAAGCCAAGGGCTCAAATTAGAACTGGGGTTTGAGTCGCTCGTACGTACTTTGCGAAGTAGTGAGTGTCTGCGGCCATGTAGATATATTATTAACCCGTGGTTCGAGGGGGGTCAGGCACAGGGGGTGGCTGAGACTCGTTTCGCGTTTGAGGACTACGCGGTGGTGACGAGCCGAGCGAAAGTCTACAGGGGGATGAAGCGTGCGTCGCTTTGACGGCCATCCTCGCGACCCTTTGATCCTGTCGGCTCCTTCAAATTCTTTACCCCCGGCTTGTACTTCACCCTCGACCGTGCACTAACACTGGCGCAAGATCCGTAGCGAAGATGTATGCACGAAAGGGGGTTGTTAAGAATATAAAAAAAAATATTATTTAACAAGTATATAAATCTTTAGAGCTGAACCAAGGCTTTAGCGACGTTCTTCCCGCATGGGTATTTAGGGGATGATTTTGATATTAATTTTTTTTTTTGGATTTATCTACTCAATGCTTTTACCTCGCGTTGTCCTAGGCGCATTTTTGTCTGTTTGATCCGCGTTGTTGGCTTTGTCGTTAGGACGTTTGCGCATGCGCACGGAATCATTCGCCGTTCTTTCGTCATGTATGACAGATTTTTAATACGCGCCCCTCCGTGTCGCGTTTCTCTCTGCGCCCGAGTAACAGTCGACGGTAAACGCCGACGCGTTACGTATGCCTGATTTCCGGATTGCAAAACATTTTCACACTCTTGTGGTTTTGCGCGACGGGCGTCACGCTCAAAAGCTTTGCGAGCTCGTGTGCGCCACCGCAACAACGTGGAATGTAACCATCCCTCTTTTACCTCTGTCTCTCTCTCTCTCTCTCTCTCTCTCTCTCTCTCTCGCTCTCTTTCCCCTTCTCTTTGGCTCTCTATCGTTTTACACTTTGTCCGCAGTAACCTAACCTAGCGTTTCGCATTCGATTCTTCCCTGTAGACTGGACGCCACAGTCACATGGAACGTCCGACGCTCGGGGTATGATTTTCATTTATGTCAAAACAAAACTTTATTTTATTCATTTGTAATTACGTGACGTTCGGACGATTGGTGAATTTTGTCAAGATTAAAAATTTTTTTTTTAATATTATTATTTCGCCCTTCACTCCCCTTTGTCAACTTTTTCAAAATCTACGGATCTATGCATTTTTTTCACTTTTCATCACTATCACGATGAACTCTGGTATCACAGTATATTTTTATCTGATGGAAAATTGAAAAAAAACTGGCGTCACGTTGTTTTCGAAATTATGTAAAATTTGTTTAGGGTTGGCAATATCGCGTGATAGTTTTTCGTGTCGATCGTCTGTTTTAACGTCGCGTTTAATTGTCGAGGAATTTAACCATAGCTCGAGTCTGCGGTGACTGGGTGGGTTATTGGTACTACGTCATTAAATTATTCCAGGATACGAATACGATATGCCGTACCGATCGAGTCCTGAAACAGTGCAGAGTCTTTATATATTAATGTTCTTCAGTTTTTTGGCACGCCGACAAAGAGAAGATACGCGATTCTTATGTCTGCTGGATGCTCGATACGGTTGCGCAACTTTCACCACTTGAGATGTGTTTCAGTCGGTAAATGATTTCCGGTTGGTGACGATGGCCCTTGAGAATTCGACGAACCAAACGTTATGTTGGCAAACAGTTAGGATTCCTGGAGTGAGGACTTTCGATAGCTTCTCTTGACTAATCTTGAAGAGGGTGCGACATTTTTTTAGTCAGAAGTGCAATTATTTTTAAATCGTTAAAAAAATAAAAAAGATAGCTTTTTCCAAAAATAAATGAGTAAAATCAATATTATATCTTTAGCATTACTATACACATAAAGCATTAAATTGCAGACAGGTAATGTATACAGTAGTAAAATATATTTAAGAAATTACTCGTTAATTAGCAGAGTGATCAATTAAACAAATTTATTCATAAAAATTCACACAGTATATGGTATTACCTGTATTCACGATATTATATCTCAATGATGTAAAATACACAAGAATATTATAGATTTGAGAAGTAACGATCCATTTTTGAAAATTTTCTAATTAACCCAACATTCTTTTAGTGTAATTTTTGCAAAGATACAAACATTTTATCCTCGCTCCGCGTCTAATATTTTTAGTTGGCTCAACCGCTCGCCACGTGCTCATTAAGGGAGCCTTAGGTTACGACCCTTAGAGATATATGTTATACTATATTCGCGCGATTCGAGGGAGAGACGTAGAAAAAAAAAGATTTGTACCATTTGGCTTGATTCGATGGCGGTTGACGCAGCAGGGTTACCACGGACGCCTCGACGGACACATTGAGGGCGCCCGTTCGACTTGATAATCGCTTACCATTCATACACTTTTCATTGGATTGCGATTGAGCATTAAGAACTGAAGCTACCATTGGTGCAGCATATTAGCATTAGGAGGCATCATCTCAAGTGTAAACACTGCGTGAGCTCCGTGGATTTTAGTCACAGTCTCGCGCCACGTGACGTCCCTATATGCTCCCTGAAAAATACCAACCTAACCCGACGACGATTAATCTGGACCAGTTTTAACCGTCCAGATGTCATTTTAGCCTAGTGCAAAAAAAACGATTTTTACTAATTTACAAAAAAAAAATTTTTTTTAAATATTAATAAATTTTAATATAATCAAAAATTATTCGTGCATCTTTTATTGTGAGTGTGATTAAACTAGATAGATGGATTATGGTCCAGCTAGTGTAAACTCAGTAAGATTAAATAAGGCATTTTGGGACTTGGTACTTTTTTTTTAAGAAACAGATCGAGTTCTGTAACCAGGAGGTAAATGGTCGCAATCCTTTTATCCCAATTCTGGCAAGCCGCGAGGCGTTAAATCCCTGGTGAAACCCTGTGGAGCAGTTTTGCTAAGTCGGTCAGCATCCCGGTTGGTCCAGCCGAGCGAGTTTCCACAATAGGTATATGGTGGATCACTAGCAGGAGGAATTAGTTGTGCGAGAAATCTATGCTAATATTGGCTAATCGTGTAGATCTTGGTCGGGCAGGTATCTTTAATCGTTTGTGAATGTGAGATGAAAGCGTGCGCGAGTGCTCGGATTTTAAATGGTCCACGAACTGGATGTTGGGTAGTGATTGTTACTGTGTAAAGTAAGCATTGAATATACGAATTTGAAAAATCTGTTTTTCTTCGTTGCCACTTTGTGTTATTCTGATCCTTTTTTTCGGGATGCTGCGAACCTTTCTTCGTCTGTTCTCGAACTTAAATTTTCCGTGAACGCAAAGCCGTGAACTTTGACGCGATCTCGTATGGCTTTACGACACTTCGATTTATCGTTTTCAATAGAGCGACAACTTCAAGCAAAGTAAGCAATTTTTCAGCAATTTTTCAACGGTCTGTAGATCAGAGATTTTTTGTTCGCGAAATTCTTTAAATACTCGTAAAATGGTATCAGTAACAGTCTTTCTTTGAAAATAAATTTTGGATTCTTTTTCTTTTTGGTTGCCTCAAGATTTATTTGTCTGCGCCTAACCTAACCTCGATAATTCGATATGACCGACAAAGAACCAAATGATAAAAATGATACCGTTGAAGACGTGGCTTACGATCCATACGAACATCGTGAAGTGGACGGGCGTACATTAGTATCGTATTGTATCGCTGATAAGAATTATATGGCGAACTAAGACTCGATTATAACATTTATAATTTTTAGGGATTTTGGATCCTGGGCTAATCTGGTAAAGAGTGCCGTCGGCACGGGACTGTTTGCTATGCCGCATGCATTTGCCTGCGTGGGAATACTCGTTGGAATAATTGGTACTATTATAATGGGAGTACTGATAACGATATCACTACATTTGTTGGTACAGGCCCATTACAAAGTATGTGTCAAAATACAAAAACCAGCGTTATCATATAGCGAGTTGGTAACATCCACTATGAAGTCGGGTCCTAGGAGGGTAAAAGCTGCTGCTGAATGGACGATGTGAGCAATCAATAATTTTCGTCGATTAACAAAAAAAATTAATTATTATTAACAATTATTTATATACGACAGATTTGTAGTCGACGTTATCATGCTCATGTGCTATATCGGCATTGGCTCTATATATGTTGTATTTATTGCCGGAGTCGTTCAGGAGTGCCTGGATTCGAACAAAACGATATCGCAGGGCTATTACGCCCTTATATTAATCCCGTTTTTTTTGGTGATGAACATGATTAAACATCTAAAGGCGTTAGCGCCCTTTTCCATGCTCGGAAATCTATTTTTACTCATTGCCGCCATTATCGGTGTCGTCTATTCCCTCAAAGACGGCATAGGCAACGAATACGAGATCGTTCGTTCGGAATTAAATTTATATCCAAAATTTTTGGGCACGGTTTTTTTCAGCATGTGCTCGCCGGGATTGGTAGGATTATTTTGTCGATTAAACAAAATTTTCGTATATCGTTATATTTTATATATAAAAAAATCTTTTTTTCACAGATTCTCTCCATCGAGAATAGCATGAAAAATCCGGAAAATTATAACAAACCATGCGGAGTCTTTAATTTGGGGATGTCCGTCGTAATAATAATACACGTGCTGATTGGCTCGATTGGATATTTAAAATGGGGTCCCGATTCCCGGGCGAATTTCATACGCAATCATCTTGAAAATGATGTGTCTGTGATTTTTTAATTATTATTGTGGGGGGGGGGGGTTTATAAAAAATCGCAGTTTGATTTGATTAATTTTTTTTTTCAGTGCCACTGTGATAGCCCTTGTTTTCCAAGCGCTCGCTATATACTTTTCCTACGGCTTGCAGTGCTATATGCCTATATCTATTCTTCATGAAGACTATGCTTTACCTGGTATCGAGGAGGGTGATTGTGCCGGGACGTCGTTTCTCTGGGATCAAATTATTCGAATCTCCGTGACTTTAATCACTTGTGAGTTATCGGTGAAAAATTGAAAAAAAGTCTTTTACTACAAGATTCATTATCTCTTCAGGTATCCTGGCAGCCACTATCCCTAAGCTAGACATCTTCATAGGCCTTGTTGGTGCATTTTCCATGACCACCCTTGGCGTCGTGATACCCGTAGCGCTATACTTGATTGTGTATCTGAATAATTTTGGAAGATACAGATGGCGATTTGTGCTTGGAATTTTTCTCCTTTTCGTTGGTCTAACCTGTATGATCTGCGCTACCGTCACCAGTATGATTCTCATCGTGCGCTTCTTCAAATACGGGTAAAGCATTAACGAGACGACGAGCGAGACCAGCCGAAAGAAATTGAGCTGTGTAATTTATAAGAATTTATCATGATAACAATAATAATAATTCAGCGAATAATAACAGAGAGAGAGAGAGAGATAGAGAGAAAAAGAGAGAAATATTTTAAACAATAATACAAGTCCAGATACTCAATTTCAAAATTTCATAAACCATCCCGTTGGAAGTTTTGAGTTATGTAATAAAAACAGTGAAAAAAAGGAAGCGTAATTGTTTATCTTGAGAAAGAAAATTTTGTGTTTAAAATATAATTTGACGAAGAAAATGAAAAACAAAATTAAAAAATATCCTTCGACTCAAATAACCAGCATCCCTTGAAAAACTGCATCCGACGGCAAACTTCGGGTACGTAGTCAAAGATTGGTGATCGCTGAAAATTAACGTAAATGACCGAAGAATGGAGTAAAAGTAAAAAATGACGTGAATCCCGTTAAAGACGAGGATGAGGGGTGACCCGTGAAGAAGAAGGAGGACAAGAAAGAATTCGAAGAACGAACGAAGATAAAAGAAGAGGCATAATCGCTTAAGATCAGTGAGGCGTCAATGGCTGGCTTATCGCATACAAGGCTCTCGTGAAAAAGGAACCAAAGCAGGCACCCACAGTGTGAGAATCCCAGGGTGGGTTAGGTTAAGGGTGCTTTCATCACAGAGAGGACAACCCTCTTTTAGTGGCTACTGCCACACCTCACTCCGTCTGCCTGCCTGCCTGGCTGCCTGCTCATCCGTTTCCCAGTTCAAGGTGGCTGCGTTCATTAGAGAGAAGGGGGTTAGGGAGAAAGTGGGTAGGTACACGTTCGAGTCG